CCATCCATCCATCCATCCATACATACATACATACATACATACATACATACATCCATACATCCATACATACATCCATACATACATCCATTCATACATCCAGACCGGTACAAAAGGAAGTTAAATGCTGGATCCAGGACAGTGGCCCCATACTGATTTTTTTGACCGAACAGATTGGCAGGTTTTCAGAGAAGCTGCTGAAAATGGAGGTTCGCTTGATCTTGACCAATACACATCCTCAGTTCTGGGTTACATTAGTACATGTACTGACACCGTCTCCACTATCAGAAATGTTAAAAGCTACCCAAACAGAAAACCTTGGCTGAATGCAGAGGTGCGTACCCTGCTGGAAGCCAGGAACACTGTCTTCAGGTCTGGAAACTCAGAGGAGCTGAGTAGGACAAGAAAAGAGCTGGTTGCTTGTATTAAGAGGGCCAAGGCCACATATGCACAGAGGATTGAGGGTCAATTCATCTCACAAGACCCTTGGAGCATGTGGAGGGGCATTAAGTGCATAACAGATTATAAAGGAAGGAGCGAACAATGCCCCAAAGACCCATCTCTGCCTGATGCCCTCAACAAGTTCTATGCACGCTTTGAAGACCCGAACAGACCACCCAGCACCAGACTCACCTCACCACCAGATGAAGAGCATCTCAGCATGACCTCAGCAGAAGTAAGGAGTACCTTCAGGAGGATTAATCCGCACAAAGCAACTGGCCCAGACAACATCCCCGGAAAAGTGTTGAAGGAATGTGCTGATCAGCTCTGCGAGATGCTGGCAGACATCTTTAACACCTCACTTACCCTGGAGACAGTTCCCACCTGCCTGAAGACTGCCACCCACCATCATCCCAGTCCCAAAAAGTTCTACAGTGACTGGTCTGAATGACTATCGGCCAGTGGCCCTCACCCCGATAGTTGCTAAATGCTTCGAAAAACTGGTCATGACTCACATCAAAACAACCATCAACATCAACGAGGACCCTCATCAGTATGCATACCGTGAGAACCGATCAACAGAGAATGCCATCTCCTCTGTGGTCCACACTGCGCTCAACCACCTGGAGCAGAAAAACTCTTACGTCCGTATGCTCTTTGTGGACTTCACATCCGCCTTCAACACCATGATCCCCCAAACCCTGATGGACAAACTATCCACACTAGGACTAAGCCCCTCCATTTGCAACTGGGTACTAGACTTCTTAACAAACAGACCACAGTTAGTGAGGATCCACAACTTCTCCTCCACCATAACCCTCAGCACTGGCTCTCCTCAGGGATGTGTTTTGAGCCCCCTCCTGTTTACTCTGCTCACGTATGATTGTGCAGCTACCCATCCAGGCTGTCACATTGTAAAGTTTGCAGACGATACAGCGGTGGTGGGATGCATCACAAACAATGATGAGTCCAGCTACAGGGAAGAGGTGGAACACCTGGAGAGCTGGTGCAAAGAGAATAACCTTCACATCAATGTGAAGAAGACAAAGGAGATGATTGTGGACTTCAGAAGGAACAAAAACATCTACACCCCCCTGAACATAAGAGGATCTACGGTGGAAGTGGTCTCCAGCTACAAGTACTTGGGTGTACACATGAATGACAACCTTAGCTGGAGCAACAACACCACCAGCCTGATCAAGAAAGCTCATCAGAGACTCTACTTCCTCAGACGGCTGAGGCGAGCTGGTCTGGGAAGCTCAGTCCTCACCTCCTTCTACAGGTATGCAGTGGAGAGCATCCTGTGCTCCAGCATCAACGTGTGGCATGGAGGCTGCACAGCTGCAGAAAGAAAAGCTTTGCAGAGAGTGGTGAAGGCTGCACAGAAGTCTGTCGGAGTCAGCCTCCCCACCATCACAGACATCTACACCTCTAGATGCAGGAAGAGGGCCACCTGCATCATGAAGGACCTCACTCACCCAGCACACACACTTTTTGCCCCACTCCCCTCAGGAAGGAGGTTGAGGAACATTAAGTGTAGAACCACTAGACTGAGGAACAGCTTCTACCCTGAGGCTGTTAGACTCATGAATCTCTAACTAGAATAATCACTGTGAAAAATCACATCATGTTGCTGCTGATCTGTTTCATGTTGCTGCTGATCTGTTTCAATGCTGATGTGTTCATGCGTGCACATCCGCTCACACAGACTCATGTTCATGTTTGTGCTGATGTTCAATGTTTTTATGTTATGAGTGCTTAGTGTATATTTAGTTGATGTTTTTCTTAGTTCATATCTTAGATGTTATTACTGTTTTTCTTATACATTTTATTATTGGATGTAACTGGGACCCTGTGTACATAATTTCGCTCCACCACATGTACCACATGAGGTGCAAATGACAATAAAGAAACTCTGACTCTGACTCTGACATCCATCCATCCATCCATCCATCCATCCATTCATTCATTCATACATACATACATACATACATACATACATACATACATACATACAT